GTTGAATCGATTGTGAGGGTGTCAGGATGGAGCCGTGGTTGTGGTAGTTCAGGGTCAACTGCGTTTCCCTCGTAAAAAACGAAGCGCAGGCCGTGAGAGGAGCACTTTAGCTCAAAAACACAAGGTGAATCGGAGGGGGCTTCAACAATACTTATGCTTTGAGTGTGAGAACCCAAACACAACACGCGCCCTGCTTCTACGTGCCACCTGCATCCATCATGATGCCACCCCTTCTTGGGGACACTGTGTGAAACGAAAGAGCCGATCTGCCTACACCCAAATCTCCCGCACGAGGAAGTCGAGCCAACGCCTCTCCCGAGGCACTTTCCCACTTTCAGCTCGCACGGCACACCAACAAATCAGTGCGACTGTGAGGAAAGGTGGACGTTCGAAACGCGAGGGGTTCTAAACCCAAGCACGGGGCAATCTACAAGAACAACCGTGAAGCAGTATGGGAACTAGCCCTGAACACGGGGCAATCTACAGGACCATCTGTAACTCTTACAAATCTTAAAACCCTACCCAGTGGGAACTACAAGATCTTTTTGGCGCCCATATTGACGGACTGGCGCCCCACAAATAATGGAACATACTGAATTATCCGTGGCACCCGCCGCAAAGCAACGACGACGACGATTACTACTACGATGACGACTACTACTACCATGCGACGACGATTATGACAACGATTACACCTACAACCACGACTACGATTACGACTGCAATTACGACTACAATCGCGCTTACACTTACGATTACAACCACGACTACAATTACGACTACGACCAGAAACACTTGTACGTATTGCACTCCCCATGGGCAAGTGCTCACAAATCCTCTCGCGTGCACTGGGGCAAGGAAACCCCAAACATGATCCAGCCATCCCAACAATAGAGGGATCTGAATCCCCGCAACGACGACGACGACTGCGATTAAGACTACGATTGTGACTACGATGACGACTACATTGCAATCGCGACAATTGCGATTCCAAACGCAACTACAATCACGACTACAACCGCAACCACTGGTTCCTAATGCAAGATTCATGAGAAGATGCGTACGAATCGTCTTGCGTGTAGGGTAGCCCACAGTGGATTCTTCTCTGGGTTGAGACCCCCGAAACATTATCCAACCTGGCCAACAATAGAGTGAGAATAATCTTCGCCGCGAAAGCGACGATGACGACAACGACGACTACGATGACGACCACGAGGAGCAGCAGGAGGACGAGGAGCAGCGAACACATGAGGCGACGCGCCGAGTCAGCGGAGGAGGAGCAGGACGAGGAGGGGGCCGGGGGGGAGGAGGGGGAAGAGGAGGGGGGAGGAGGAGGATGGGCGAAGGGGAGGCGGAGGAGGAGGAGGGGGAGGAGGAGGGGCGAGTTTGTTCCCCGCCGATAGAAAAGGGGGGAGTGGGGGGGCAAAAACAAAGACCTCCTGTGGTCCCACTAAGGATGCGAGCCCCAGGAGAAGGGCAATAAATGTAGAAACATACGTAAAACAGAAGAGACGGGCGGCGAGACCTATGGGGGGCCTACAGGGGCGAAGCCTACGGGGCGAAGCCCACGAGGGGGCGGGAAACACTCCCCGAACACATATCCCAACACAGCCAACATGCCTCAGGCCTCTTGGGGCATTCCAGGGGCGGGGGAGGAGCGAATAACGTTCTCCGAACACACATCCCAATACAGAAAAGCGCTCCCGGAACATGTGCCCAAATACAGAAAATGTCGCCTGGCCCCCCATGTTGCTTTAGTTCGGGCATGTCCCCCTACAGGCGGATCTTGGACGAAAATAAAAATTAGCCTGGCGAAGAGCGCGACCATATGCAGTTGTGGGTACAGCCCTTGTATGAACCGCATTCGGGGGGGCTCCCCATTGGGCGACCAAACGTGTGAGGGGTGTGCCAACATGGGTGCGGTAGATGCATTCAAACGCTGGCATGTGGGCCTGCGGTGGGGCTCCCTGCGGGGCGAGGAAACGTGTGAGGGGCGTGCAAAAAAAGGTGCGGTGGGCGCATGCGAACGCTGGCATTTGGGCCTTCTGTAAGGCTCCCTGTGGGGTCACGGAACGTGCGAAAGGTGTGCCAAAATGGGTGCGGTGGGCGCGTGCGAACGCTGGCATTTGGGCCCTCGGTGGGGCTCCCTATGGGGCCCCGAAACGTGTGCAGGATGTGCCAACATGGGTGCGGTGGGTAAATGCGAACGCTTGCATGTGGCCCTTCGGTAAGCTCCCTATGACTTGTGGCCCTTGCGTGTGGCCCTTCGGGCACAAGCGTGTGAGGGACGTGCCAAAATTGGTGCGGTGAGCGCAAGCGAACGCTGGCATTTGGGCATTCGGTGGGGCTCCTATGGGGCCACCAAACGTGCGAGGGACGTGCCGAAATGGGCGCGGTGGTGCCATGCGAACGCTGGCAGTTGGGTCCTCAGTGCGGCCCCCTATGGGGCCCCGAAGCGTGTGAGGGGCGTGCCAAAATTGGCGCGGTGGGCGCATGCGAACGCTGGCATTCGGGCTTTCGGTTGGGCTCCCTGTGGAGCCACGACGCATGTGAAGGGCGTTCCAAAATGTTTGCGGTGGGCGCATGCAAACGCAGCCACTTGGGACTTCGGTGGGGCTCTTTATGGGGCAACAAAACGTGTGGGGGGTGCGCCGAAATGGGCGCGAAGGTGCCATGCGAACGCTTGCATTTGGGCATTCGGTGAGCTCCCTATGGGGCCACGAAGCGTGCGAGGGAGATGCCAAAATGAGCGCGGTGGGCGCATGCGAACGCTGGCATTTGAGCCGCCGGTGGGGTCCCCTACGGGGCCACAAAACGTGTGAAGGGTGTACCGAAACAGAGACCTGCGGAGGGCATAGGCGAGGAGGGGAAGGAGGGAGGAGGGGGAGGAAGAAGAGATGGGAAGAGATGAGAGGAACGCGGGAACCGTCTTTTCAAAACGAGGACCCGCCACCACAGGATGGTTGGGAAAAGCCAAACGAAAACAGGGAAACGATTTCAAGCATGCGCGATAGTGACGCCCTTCAGGACACAAACGGAGAACCGATCACGAAACAGCGCGATTCCTGGGCAACGGAACGTGTGAGAGGTGTGCCGAAAATCGTGCGGTGGTGCCGTGCGAGCACAACCATTTGGGCCTTCGGTGGGGCTCCCTTATGGGGCCACCAACCGTGCGAGGGGCGTGCCGAAATTGGTGCGGTGGTGCCATGCGAACGCAACCAATTGGGCCTTCGGTGGGGCTCCCTATGGGGCCACCAACCGTGCGAGGGGTGTGCGGAAATGGGCGCGGTGTCGCCATGCGAGCGCAGCCAGTTGGGCTTTCGGTAGGGGCTCCCTATGGGACTACGAAACGTATGAGGGGCGTGCCGAAATGGGCGCGGTGGTGCCATGCGAACGCCGGCATGCGGGCCTTCGGTGGGGTTCCCTATTGGGCCACGAAGCGTGTGAGGGATATGCCGAAATCGGTGCGGTGGGCGCCATGCGAACGCTGGCATTCGGGCCTTCGGTTGGGCTCCCTATGGGGCCACGAGACGTGTGAGGGTGTGCCGAACTGGGTGCAATGGTGCCATGCGAACGCAAGCCATTTGGACCTTCGGTGGAGATCCTCATGGGGCCACGAAAACGTGTGAGGGGTGTGCCAAAATAGGCGCGGTGGCGCCTGCAAACGCATCCACTTGAGCCTTCAGTGGGACTCCCTATGGGGCCACGAGACGTGTGAAGGGTGAGCCGAAATGGGTGCGGTGGTGCCATGCGAAAACTGGCATTTGGGCCTTCGGTAGAGGCTCACAATGGGACCACAAACCGTGTGAGGGGCGTGCCGAAATGGGTGCGGTGGTGCTATGCGAACGCAAGCCCCTGGGCTTTCGGCGGAGCTCCCTATGTGGCCACGAAGCGTGAGAGGCGTGCCGAAATGGGCGCGGTGGCGCCATGCGACCGCAGCTGCTTGCGCCTTCGGTCGAGCTCCCCATAAGGCCACGAAGCGTGTGAAGGGCGTGCCGACATGGGCGCGGTGGTGCCATGCGAACGCAGCAACTTGGGCCTTCGGTGGGGCCACCTATGGAGCCACGAAGCGTGTGAGGAGTCCGCCGGACGGCCGGCGGGCCCCCTAGGAGCAGCGCGGGTGGGCCGGAGCCCGGTTATTGCATGTGGTGGAGGAAGGCGTCTTCCCAGCTGTCCCATCATTTCTGGTCACAAGCATAATATAACCAATGTGTGGTGATACTCCCAATGGTAATTAGTATAAGCTGTGATCTGTCGTCGCACCACCGCTTGCGTTGTCGTCCATGTCTGCGCTGTGCTATTCGATTGTCGTGGACTTCCGGCTCCCACGCTGCCGCAAGCCTTGTCCATCTAAAGTTCGAGTGTGTTGCCATTCGCTTTGCCCACCGCCATTTTTGTCTGTAGTATACTGTTGTCCACTCGTCCACGTGAGAGCGGGCAGCGAGATCTGTAGCCGCATGTGTGGCTCGCATGAGTGCTGCTTGTCGGGTCGTTGCACGTCAAGTGTTTCTTTAAGTGCTGCTGGAAATCCGGGTCGTTAGGGTGCAGCGGCTGGTGAATGTGGTTGCGTCGTGGTCGTCGCTTTCGTCGTCGTGGTTGGCATGTCGGGCCGTCCAGTGCTAGTCGGAGGTGTACGGCCTGGTGGTCGGAGCCGAGGTCAGGGCAAATCGTAGCGATTGCGTCGAGCACTTGGTGCCGGGCCTTCCGGTCCACCAGTATATAGTCTATCAGCGTTTGTGTGTGTCGAAATGGGCGCGGTGGCGCCATGCGAACGCAACCACTTGGGCCGTCGGCGGAGCTCCCTTTGGGGCAACGAACTGTGTGAACTTTGTGCCGAAATGGGCATGTGGAGGTCAGAGGCACGCAGGAGGAGGAGGAAGGAGGAAGGAGAAGAGGAGACGCGGGGCGCTGTCTCTTCAAAACGAAGATCCAAAACAGGATGGCTGGGAGACATTAAAGAAATACTCCACATAACCCAAAACATGCCCAACAAAAACAGCTCAACCTTTTTTAGTTTGGAATATTCCTCCTGTAGAGAGACACGCCCGACTTAACTGGGCAACCCTGTCGCCGACGACATCCGCCCGGGCAACCTTGTCTCTGTGAACGAGGCTGGCGGGCACGAAAATGTCTCTCAGGATCTCCTGCCAATAGAACGGGTAGCCCTGCCGCGCCTGAAAGACGGGGAGGGCCTGGTCAAGCTTGGCGCGAAGCGCCTCGAGCCACTTCCGCGTTAGGCCGGTGTTGGGCTTGAATGGACCTGGGGAGTCGAGGTCGACGGAGAAGACGGCGGTCTGACAGGCAGCGGTGGCGGGCGGCAAAGCGACAGCGACCAGCACAGAAGCAGGGACGCTGGGCTGAGGAGGCGAGACCAAGATAACAGAGGAAGCCTGAAGGGACCGTGAAAGAGATGGGGGAAAGGGAGTTTGAGGCGTGAGACAGGTCAGACACGTCCTCGTTCTCCTCCTTCCCCTCTTCCTCCCCCCCAATTGCTCCTCTCTCCCCTGTAAAATGAGGCGGGCAGAAGGGCGCGTGGGAGGAGAGGCCTACGGGCTGAAATGATGCGAGATGGGCAGATGCGCAGAGCTGGTCAGCGAAGGGACTGTTGCAGACCAGACTGGGGACTGGGGCACAAGACTGTCAAAGACAAGCTGGAATGCAAAGACGCACGGCATTTTGATGGGATGTGCGCAGCGTGGCTGGGAGCATCTAGGCAAGGACGGGAAGACCCATGTCTGATATTCCAATGAGTTCTCCCCACTGCGATCCATCATACCCGATCGCGTCATATGTCTGTAATAAATCGAATCCGCCACCTCTCACGGTGAGACATGCAGGCTGGCTTCGAAACGCACGCGCACAGCATGAACGCTTCTGCTGACCACTGCAAAGTCCTTACATGTTATTGAACATGCATTGGATGTCCTGATGCTGGACCACCCCCTGCCTGCCGCGCAAAACACGCTGGTGGCTGGCGGGGGGAGGGGCCAGCGCGGACAAGAAAAACTCGAAGGAACCTTAGGACATGTATGCTTATGCCGTTTTGGGCTCTTCGGTTGGGGCTGCCTGCTGAGACCAACCTGAAAAGCCAGATCCCTTGACCACTGCTCTTCTCTCGTTCACAGGACGCGACGGACGGCGCTGAAGAAGAGATTGCGGCGGAGAAGGGGGGGAGACCAAAGGCTCCCAACTTCGCGCTTCGCGCTGCGCGAAGCGCGAATAACTTCGCGCTCTCGCGCCGCCTCCAAGGGGAGAAGAGGAGGATGAGGAATCGGAGCCGAACCGCGAAGCGCGAATAACTTCGCGCCCTCGAGGGCGCCCTTGGAGACGAGGGACTCTCACGAACGACGACCATATCCAAATCCACGCCGTCACGGTCTGGTACGCGGTCGGCATGGGAACGTTCCGACCGGGGCATCTGGGAAACAACGCCCCGTATCCATTCAGCACGTTTTGATTGGGTACGGACAGAATTGGCATGGTGCCCAACAGCAGATGATGTCCAAATTTGACAGCGGCCCCTGTTGGGCAGGCGACGTCTCTTTCAAATGGGCAAAATCCGCGGCAACTCCAGCAACGTCGCCTGTTCAAACTGGACAAGAAATGCTGTAGGCATTCGACCCCATTCCTTCCGTAACCATTCCGATCGCCCGATCCATTCGGAGATCTTCTGACCCTGGTCAATCCAGACCTAGGTCAGTCAGGCTTCGCAGAACCCTGCAAGATCCTGCACCCAAACCTAAGTCAGCGCACCCCTGGCACTGCAAGATCCTGCAAGGTCCGGCTCTATGGCTGACCCGTGTTTGCATTGCCCCCCGCCTCTTGAGCCCCGACCCATGGGGTAGCGGCCCGGGGAGCCGGCCTGCGAGGCTGTGGATATGGATATTTTCCCTCCCACGAGGCTCGGCGTAGGAGCGCCAGAGGGTCGCCGCGTCCCCGCCGACAAAACTCCGACCCGCAGCCCGTCGCGGGCGAATGCCACGCGCCGAGGGCTTCCCGACCCCCAGCGCGGTGCTCCGACGATCCTGGTCGTGCTGGGTCCCCCCTGTGTGTTGTTTCCCAATCAGAACTTGCCTCTGTAGGGGCCCTAGCGGATTCATATGATTAAGTGAGGTTTGCCGACGACTTCTGCGGCCCGCCCGGGTGCTGGGTGCCCGGGTGGCACCCTGGCGCTGGCTGCCCGGGTGCCTTATAGCCCCACTGCCCTATAGCCCTTTAGCTCTATAGCCCTATAGCCCATAGCCCAATAGCTCTATAGCCCTATAGCCCCATAGCACTATAGCACCATAACCCTATAGCCTTATAGCCTTCTAGCCCTCTAGCCCTAGAGCCCTGTAGCCCTCGAGCCCTATAGAGCCCTATAGTCCTGTAGCCCAATAGCTCTACAGCCCCATAGCCCTATAGCCCTATAACCCTAGAGCCCTGTAGCCCCATAGCCCTATAACCTTATAGCCTCATAGCCCTATAGCCCTATAGCCCTATAGGCCCTTAGTCCTATAACCCTGTAGAGCTATAGCCCTATATCCCTATTGCCCCATAGCCCTATAAACCTATAGACCTATGGCCCTGTAGCCCTATAGCCCCATGGCCCCCATGGCCCCATAGCAATGCAGCCTATAGCCCTATGGTTCTATAGCCCTATAGCCTATAAACCTTTAGACCTAGAACCCTCTTGTCCTATAGCCCTATAGCCTCATAGCCCCATAGCCCTATAGCCCCATAACCCTATAACCCTAAAAAACTATGTTTGGGTATTTTTCTCCGGTATCATTCGTTTGTCTACATTGTGGGTACCTCCCCACGCTGATTACGAAACGCGCAGTGGGGAGGTAGGCAGGGAGGGAGGGAGAAAAAAACATCAAGGGTGGGTTGGTGGGTGGGGGGGGGAGACGTGGGTCCTTTGAACATGCGTGTCTGCTCCAAGGCGACGAGGATTCCTGGGGCCCCCAAGGGAGCAGAATTCCTAAAAAGATCAAACTCACTCCAAGCTTCATATCGTGTGAAAAGTACAACGGGCCAATTCACGAAACAATGCCTGGCGTACCGAGTACTGCACGTGCCTGCCATGACAGCATGGGACTCGGGCGATCACGGCCGCCGTCAGACCACCCTGAATCCAGCAGGAGGAGGGTCCCTGAGGCCTCAGTGGGATGATGACAACTCGTAGGGGATAGGCCCCAACCTAGAAACTATCAGACAACCCTCGGGTTCATCTGGAACCCTCTATGCTTTTTTGAGAAACATAACAGCAAGAGTGACAATAGGGAAGGACTTGAAGAGATGGCTCTGGGGTGCCTCAAACCCGATATCTAGAGGGTCCAGTCTCCTGGTGTCACCACCCTGCAGAGCAGTGGTCGCAAGCGCGTTGACAATTGAGAAAGACGAAGGCGCGCGCTGGGGGGGTTCTCAGTGACGCCACTGGCTTTGTCGAATAACTCTACGCCCCGTCTATAGTGTGAGGGTGCGGCCTGAACCACGCACAATGGGGCAATGCGTCCCAGGAAGACGATTCAATCCGAAGGCCTCTTTTGCAATGGAACCAAACGACAATGGGGGGACGGTGGGAGGTGAAAGGGAGGAGGACCGCCGCTTGTAGGGCCCTGGGCGGCAAAGCCACTTTCGATAAGGAGGACAACTCCCGCAAACAGATCGTGTCCATGTCGAGATATATACCGCCATAAGCGTGCAGCAGGCGGCACCGCAGACAGCAGAACAACAAGAAAGAACACAAACAGTAGCGTTCGGAGGTCTGCGCAGACATCGTGGGTCGGCGCTGGACCCCTCCTAAGTCATGGCGGCCTCTGGCACGCGATGCGCTCCATAGGAGTGGGGTTCAACGCTGACCCAAGAGATCTGCGCGGACCTCTGAAATATGTTGATGCCGCTTTTCCGTTGTTCCAGATAGTCTGCGCGGTGCTGCAGGTGCAAGAACTCGTATGCTGGGTGCAGGTCAGGCACAAAGCGAAGCACGTTGCTGGGCGTCACCAGTATGACTGGCAACCCGGCGTTCCGCTGAATCGTACGCAGGCACAGCCGCAGGTGAGAGGGCACCGCGTTGTTGCCAGTCCAGCACATCCAGATGACACGATTGGTCTCGCCGCTTCTGACCTGCGCAGCCGCCTTCCGGGGCGAAGGGAAGGGGGGGCAGCAAAAGGGAAGGCGAGCGAAGCAGCCCACACAGAGGATGTTCCTGGCGCCTCCCGACGCCAGACGTCCATACGTCGAGGACAGCGCGCAGCGGCGGGGCCGAAACCAGCTGCGCGCAGCAGATTTACTAACCCCCATTGCGTCTCCTCCGACCTACTGCTCTCCTCAGATCCGACGTGGCGAAAGGACGGCATCGTGAACAGTCACGACCAGACCCCGAACTCTGTCTTTCTGCGTCGCGTTTCGGGCCGCATCGATCTACGAGGCTCCCGGGAGCCCAAGGCTGGGCGAAAACGCCCGTTGTGAAAAACATGCAACGCCAAGATCTCAGGGTCCGTCCCAGAGTCGGGGAGACGTAAGACCCGGGTACGGGGGACTCGGAAATCCCCGACGAGGTCGTCAAAAAAATGACGAGGCCGAGCCTGCATTTTGACGAGGCCTCCCGCTGCAGACATCCCACAAAACGCCTCGTCAAAATCCGAGCCGCGGTCGTCAAAAAACGATGGCGAACCCGAGTCCCGGCAAACCCGGGTCTTACGCTCCCCCGACAGAGGTCCTGCCCAAATCCACCCTCATGGCGTCCACCCTGGCCAGTGTCCCAACCCGGCTCGAGCTCGGACTGCCCCGGGCCCGCAGCGGGCCTCCAGAGGGCGAGGCCGGGGAAGAGGCTGCTCGAGCCTCGAACCCTTCGGTGGAGGCCGCCCGAACGGGGTCGGAGCAGATGGGCTCGGTGCATCTCCCCCCGCTGGCGACTTCTCGGTGACGTCGGGATTGAGACAGACGAACTCCGAATCGAGTCGCACCGCCGATGCGTCGGCGATGCGGCACCACCCGTCGACCCCATCTGCTCCGCCCCCGTGTGGGCGGCCTGGATTGGGGAAGCCACGAGGTATCGATACCGCTGCTCCCCGGACCTCTCCTATAGGGTGCGTTCTGACCAGGATGGCGAGGCGAACCCAGCGGTGGCGACGAGGGCCTCCGAGGAGGCCCAAAAAGGGAAAACGAGGGAAGGGTAGAGGTACTGCAGGTCCGTGCCGTGTCGACCCTGGCGTTGGTTCCTGACACCGCGCTGGATCGTTCAACCTGGAACGATCGGCCGTCTCCGCAACGTCCGATCGTTCAACACCGACCGCTTCTGGGCCGCCGTCGGCGTCCAACGTTGAACGTCGGCAGCGGGGTCGCCGCTGGTCGACACGACGCAAACCTACCGTATGGGTAATTGTCGTCCTCTCGAGAACCGAAAATGGACACGGCCTGGAAAATAACGGCCACGGCGCCCTCTCGAGAACCGAAAACGGACAATTCACTAATCGACGTGTCACTATTGGGGGTCCTGTCCACCCCCGATATGGGTAATCGTCGTCCTCTGATGGCTGCGCCCGACCCGGGCCTCCTCCTCCAGGGGCCGCTGCACGGCCGGCCCTCCCGTACCTCGGGGCACAAAGACCGGGGCACAGCCAGAGAAGCCGTCGGAGGTCCGCGCGGACCTCCTATAATTAGCGGCACCTCGGGCGCGCGGCTTCTCTCCCGGGTCGGGCGCAAGGGGGGGGGGATAGCAAAGGGGGGGGTTGAGAATCAGCTCACGAGTAGCTGCTTTTCCCGGCGCCTCCCGGCGCCGGAGGCGGCCAGGTATCGAGGAAGGGGCGCCTCGGTGAGGCCGCAAACCAGCTGCACGCAGCACATTTCGTAACCCCCCCTTTCCCAATCCCCCCCTTTCGCCCGGCCCGAGTCTCCCGCGCCGCCCCTTGCGCGCGCTTCGCGCGCCAAAGAAAGCGGGGTGTCCAGCATCAGAAGCTCCACGGCATCAACAGAAGCGTTCATGCCGTGCACGTGCGTTTGCTGGCACACCGCCACGTCTCGCCGTGAGCGACGGCGGGGTTAATTTCTTGCAGATCTGAACCGGCGAAAAGTCTGCGCGGACCTCCGAACGCTTCCCATACAGTGCTTGCACTCAAGGGATATTACATGGGTTACCTGGGGGATTGGACGGGTTCGCCGGATTTTCGCCTGGTACCCATTTGGTGGTCGGTCGTAGGCGCCTCGTGCCATAGGCGCCGCCAGGGGGGGGGGGGAAACTCCGATCCAAGAAATCCGCTCGGAACTTCATTTTTGATCGGAGTAGGGCGAGTTGAGACAACGGCATCTCAAAATCCGTCCCCAGACCCCTCCCTGAGTCCAGACGCACAAGTGCTCCGAGCGGCGTCCAGCCGTGGCGACGAGGGGCCCCTCTGAAGGCCAACTACTACTGCATCAACTCGCCCTCCTCTGACGCTCGCCGCTCCTCTTGCTTCCGGGTCATCCATCAAGCCTCCGGCGGCCGTTCGGGTCATACGACAAGCCTCCCGCGGCACCCCCAGAACGCCCTCGACGAGGCGCAGCTGCTGGAGAGCATCCCGAGGCCTAAACGCTGCCGAGCCTCGCGGATGGACAGACCTCCCTTTAGTAGAACGTGGTTTAGTGAAAACGACCTGAGGCCCAAACCTGGCGGGCGCAAGCCTGGAAAATAACGGCCGCGGCGCCCTCTCGAGAGCCGAAAACGGACAATTCACTAATCGACGTGTCACTGTTGGGGGTTCTGTCCGCCCCCGAGAGCCTTTTCTGTCTGTTCCTCTTCCTCGGGTGCCGTCCCACGTCGGCGTCGGCCCGCGGTCCGCCACGGCGCCGCGCGCGGTCCGCCACCGCCGCGCGGCCGCCGCCGGCGCCGCGACGGCGAGGGCGGCAGCCGCGAGGCGGTGTGCCTCCTGGGCGCTAAGAAGGTGGGGCCCTGCGGCGTGGTCGGCGGCGCGCCGAGGGGGTGGGGGACGAGAGGGGGCAGGCCTTCCGCGGAGACCTGTGGGCTTCTGGAGAGCCCTCCGTGCCCTGGGAGACGGCTCCAGGGCCCCCAGGGGAGGGCACGAAGTAGACATAAGAGCTCGGAGGTCCGCGTTGCTTTCTCGGATCGGCGCTGGACCTCCCTCCCTGGCGCGCGGAGCGCGCCAGGGGCGGCGCTGGAGTCGTCGCCAGGACCTCAAAGTTTTCATGCCTGTATGTCTGTATGGCATTGCTTGTTCCCCGAGCTCTGCCTTTAGAGTGCATTAGCGTGCGCTAGCGTTTGGCAATCGATGAGAAAGCGCCGACTTAGTGCCAATTGGCGTGGATTGGCGTCGATGAGCGTCGATCTAGCGTCAATCGGCGTCAATCAGCGTCGGTTAGCGTCGAATCGCAAGGGCCAGCAAGATGGCCCCAGACCCCCGACGTCATGATTCTTTCACAACGTCAGCCCCCCGAAGGTCTCGGCCCATTCCCTGAGACCCGTTTTTCATCCTGAGTTCTTTGTTGACGGTCCCGAGGCCCGCCAAGGGCCCGCAGAAGCCGAAAACGGAGGTCACCCTTCTCCATCATTGGGGGCCTGGGCCTCCTGCGCCAGGCGCGCGCAACGGGGTCAGCGCCGACCCCTCCGGCCTGCCCGGGCCCCTCAGCGCCACGCGGAGTTCCTTTACGGCAGGCTCGTGTCGTGCCGACCCCAGCGATGGTTTCTGTCACCTCGGGGATCGTTCAACCTGGAACGATCGGCCGCTGCCGCAACCTCCGATCGTTCAACATCGATCGATTCTGGGCCGCCGCCGGCGTTCAACCTTGAACGTCGGCGGCGGGGTCGCCGCGGGTCGACACGACGCGAACCTACCTAAAACAGGGCTAGGATCGGGATAAATCGCTCCAGAGCGTTCCGGAGCGCTCTCAGAGCGTTCCGGAACGCTCTGGAGCGGCCGCGGCGCCCAATACGTCCTCCAAACCCGCCGATCCTCAGAGATTTCGAGTTATCCCGATCCGATTTTGTCCCGATCTTCGCGTCGTTTTACTACCGTAGGCTTCTGCCCTGGACTGCGCCCGGGGTCCGAAGGCCGCAGGCCTGCCCCCCGTCGGCACCCCCGCGGGGCGCGCCGCCGCCACGGGGGGCCCCCCCGGGGGCGAGGCCCCGCGCGGCGCGCGCTCCGCCGGCCCGTCGCCCCGGCCCCACGGGGACGGGGCCGAGACCGGGGCAGCCGCAGGCCACAGGGGAAGGATCGGGGAGACGTTAAGACCCGGGTACGGGGGACTCGGACATCCCCGACGAGGTCGTCAAAAAATATTGACGAGGCCGAGCCTGCATTCTGACGAGTCCTCCCGCTGCAGACATCCCACAAAACTCCTCCTCGTCAAAATCCGAGTCGCGGTCGTCAAAAAACGATGGCGAACCCGAGTCCCGGCAAACCCGGGTCTTACGCTCCCCCGAAAGGAGCAATGACACAAAGCATGACAAGTCGGAGGGCCGCGAGGATTCCTCGCATCGGCGCTGGAGCCCAGCGCCGATCCGTGAAATCCGGGCGGATCTCAGAGTCACTCTGTCCACGTCACTGGTTGTTCCCCGAGACCAGGGTTGATCGGAGATCTCTGAGCTCTGGCGGTTCTGGCGGATGCATCGGGCGCCGCGCCGCTCCCGAGCGCCCGAGAACGCTCTGGAACGATGCATCCCCGTCCTGGCACCGCCCAGCCCCAAGGGCCAGGAGGCCCTGATCGGGGGGAACGAAAGGGGGGGATAGCAACGGGCAAGCTAGAGAATCCGCTCACGTAGCTGACTTTCCCAGCGCCTCCCGGCGCCGGGAGGCGCCCATGTATCGAGGCATGGGCCCGGCGGCGGGGCCGAAACCAGCTGCACGCAGCAAATGTCGTACCCCCCCCCCTTTCCCCATCCCCCCCTTTCGTCCGACCCGGGAGGCCCCGAGCAGTGCGAGCTCAGCCTGGCCGCCCGGAGCCCTGCCCTCCGGGCCCCGGCCCTCGGGGTCCCACCTTCGAGCCCTCGACCTCCGCGCCGGCGGCGCCGCGCGCGCCCCGCGCGCCGCGCGCGCCCGGCCCGGCTGGCAGCGGCTGCCCTGGCGGCGAGCGGCAGAACGAGCTCATCCCCCGAGACGAAGCAGGACGATAGGTTGGGACGAAATGTATAAAGGGAAATTAGGACACACAAATAAATACACACAAATAAAAATAGTCCCCATATTTTCCCATATTTTCTGGGTTTTTGTCTTCCCCCCCAATTCCCATATTTTCCCATATTTTCCTGGGGATCGACGATTCATTGTGTCTGTGTGTTTTTTTCCCTCCCGAGAGACGAAGGCAGGACG